TTTGCCTTGCACTTGGTGATGTAAGGCTTGGATGCAGCTGCTCGACCATGGTAACCCATTCTATAAATCTCTCTACGCACTGTTGTGCTAATCTGAAGGTTACACAAAGTTTGGAGGTCTTTAGCTATTGACGTTGCAGGCAGTTGGTGACTTCTGCGCACTTCAGCATGTTATAATACCACTAACAGTTGACTGTGGAATATTTAGTAGCAAGGAAATTTCACAGATGGACTTATTGCATAGGTGGCAACCTATCATGGTACCACGCTTGAATTCACTGAGCTTCTGAGAGTAACCCATTCTTTCACAAATGTTTGTAGAAGAAGTCTGTGTGCCTAGGTACTTTATTTTATTTTATACACCTGTGACCATGGAGGGGATTGGAACACCTGAATCCAATGATTTAGAGGGGTTGTCCCAATACTTTTGGCAATAGTGTATATTTTTTGTGGGTTCTAAGTAATTTAGTAGTTTTTCTAGCAAAAATTGCTGATTTTTACTTGTGAACAAAAAGTGTCAGAAAAGGCCTGGTATTCAAGTGGTTATCTTAAATATTGCACTTTATTAAGATATACGTAGGTAGTGCTGTATTTAATATATTTTTTTCTTTATCTTTTGGGGTTTGATATCATAGGGTATCACATACAGCTTTTATTTATAAGCATACTCTCCTATCTGAGCTAAGGGCAGATGGCTTCCAGGAAGTAAATGCTACATGAATCATCTGCCCTTACACAAAATACTCAAGCTGGCCAGAGCCAGAAATGCTAGGGGTTGTTCGAAGTGATTTCTCAGTAACATAAAGCATGAAGACATGGATGGATGGGAGAGTTTGTTTTGAATATTAAAAATTAGTTACATAGCGTATTTTGTTTGTGGTGCGCAGATACTGTAGTTCTGCTTTAAAGTAGAGTTCCAGTCTAAACCTAACAAGTCTTAAAAATGGCAACCACCGAGGACAGGAGAGAGCATTTCACAGCGGCTAGGACATGAGAGCCTACAGCGGGGGAAATTGGTTATTTTGATCCCCTGCAGATTTTGTAAGTTTGCCCATTTACAAAGAAATTTAAGGGGTCTGTAATTTTTTTTTATCATAGGTGTATTTTAAATGATGGAGACAGAATATCAAGCAAAAATCCAGAAAAAAAACATATGATACAAATGTTATAAATGAGTTGCAGTTCAGTGAGTAAAACAAGTATTTGATCCCCTACCAACCAACAATACTGGCTCCCACAGACTGGCTATGTGCTCATGTGGTACACAGATTAGTCTTCTCAATTTAAGAAGGTGCTCCTAACGACAGCTCGTTATGTGTATAAGACACCTGTCCACAGAATCTTTCTTCCATTCAAACCTTACCACCATGGACAAGAACAAAGAGTTGTCAAAGGACTTCAGGGACACAATTGTAGACCTGCACAAGGCTGGAGTGGGCTACAAGACCCTCGGCAAGAAGCTTGGTGAGAAATACAAAATAACCATCAGTCGCCCTCGGTCTGGAGCTCCATGCAAGATTTCGCCTCATGGGTAAAGAATGATCATGAGAAAAGTGAGGGATCAGCCCAGAACTGCGCAGGAGGAGCTTGTGAATGATCTCGAAGCCGTTGGGACCACAGTTGACAGACAAACCATTGGTAACACAATATGCCACCACGGATTGAAATCCTACAGCGCCTGTAAGGTCCCCCACCTCCAAGAAGGCACATGCATAGGCCCATTTGCCAATGAATATCTAAATGATTCAGAGAAGGATTGGGAGAAAGTGCTGTGGTCAGATGAGACCAAAATTGAGCTCTTTGGCGTAAACTTGACTCACCGTGTTTGAAAGAAGAAAAATGCTATGACACTAAACACCATCCCTACAGTCAAGCACGGAGGTGGAAACATGTTTTGGGGCTGTTTCTCTGCTAACCGTACAGACCGACTTTGCCGCATTGAGGAGCCAATGGACGGGGCCATGTATTGTAAAATCTTGGATGAGAACCTTCTCTCAGTCAGAACGCTGAAGATGGGTCTTCCAGCATGACAATGATCCAAAACCTACCGTCAAGGCAACAAAGGAGTGGCTCAACAAGAAACACATTAAAGTAATGGAGTGACCTAGCCAATCTGGAGACCTTAATCCTATAGAAAATTTATGGAGGGAGCTGAAACTTTGAGTTCCCAAGCAACAACCAAGAAACCTTGAGGATTTAGAGAAGATCTGTAAAGAAGATTGGACAAAAATCCCTCCTGAGATGTATGCAAACCTGGTAACCAACTACAAGATTCGTCTTACCTCTGTGCATGCTGATAAGGGTTTCTCCACCAAGTACGAAGTAATGTTCTGCTTGGGGATCATATACTTATTTTACTCACTGAACTGCAACTCCAATTTTTATAACCTGTTTTTTCTGGATTTTGGTTGATATTCTATCATTTAAAATACAGCTCTGGCCAAAATAGAATGACACAAATATTAATTTTACACAAATATTAATTTTCACAAGTCTGCTGCTTTTAGTTTTTTTAGATTTTGTTGTCGGATGTTACTGTGGTATACTGAAGCATAATTTAAAAGCAATTCTTAAGTGTCAAATACATTACGTTTATTCAAAGAGTCATTATTTTCAAGACCTGCAATTTTCCATGGCATGCTTGAAAGCATTTTCTGGGTCATATCCTCACTGATGGCAGCCCATTTTTGCATAGTAAGTGCTTGGAGTTTGTCAGCATTTGTGTTGTTTTTTGTTTACCCCACCTCTTGAGGATTAACCGCAAGTTCCCAATGGGATTAAAGCCTGGAGTTTTCTAGCCATGGACCCAACATTTTGATGTCTTGTTCCCCAAGCCACTTATCACTTTTGCCTTGTGGCAAGGTGCTCCATCATGATGGAAAAGTAATTGTTGGTCACCAAAACTGTTCTTGGATGGTTGGGAGAAGTTTCTCTCGGAGAATATTTTTGTACCATTCTTTATTCATGGCTGTGTTCTTAGGCAGAATTGTAAATGAACCCACTCCCTTAGCTGAGAAGCAACCCCACACATGAATGGTCTCAGGATGCTTTACTGTTGGCATGACACAGGACTGATGGTAGTACTCTCCTTTTCTTCTCCGGACAAGATTTTGTCCAGATGCCCCATACGAGCAAAAAGGGTATTGATCAAAGAAAGTGACTTTACCCCAGTCCTCAGCAGTCCAATCCTTGTACCTTTTTTGCAGAATATCAGTCTGTCCCTGATGTGTTTCCTGGAGAGAAGTGGCTTCTTTGCTGCCCTTCTTGACACCTGGCCATCCTCCAAAAGTCTTTGCAATCACACCTGGCTGCTGCCATTCCTGAGCAATCTCTGCACTGGTGGTGCTGCGATCTGGAAGCTGAATCAACGTTAGGAGACGGTCCTGGTGCCTGCTGGAGTTTCTTGGGTGCCCTGAAGCCTTCTTCACAACAATTGAACCTCTCTCCTTGAAGTTTTTGATGATCCGCTATTTAGGTGCAGTCTTAGTAGCAGCAATATCCTTGCCTGTGAATCCCTTTTTTGTGCAAAGCAATGATGACTGCACGTGTTTCCTTGCAGGTACCCGTGGTTAACAGAGGAAGAACAATGATTTCAAACACCACACTCCTTTTTAAAGCTTCTGTTATTCTAACTCAGTCAGCATGATAGAGTGACCTCCTACCTTGTCCTCATTAGCGCTGACACCTGTGTTTTTAACGAGAGAATCACTGACATGTCAGCTGGTCCTTTTTTGTGGCAGGGCTGAAATGCAGTGGGAATTGTTTTTTTGGGGGATTAAGCCATCGATCACATCGGCCGTAATTTGCATGTGATTTTGCATGCCAGGAAACTTGCAAATCGTAGGCCAAGTCACACCCTATTGTCTGCTTTTTTTAGAGCGGCCATATCGGTGCGGTTCCAACTTGGTCAGAGCCGCACCGATTTCTAAACTAGTGCATGCACTACTTTGGTGCGATTTGCATAGACATCTGTGTTCCATGTCTTGGAAATCGGCAGGTCAGCCGATTTGAAATCGTGTGCGATTTCACTGTTGGTTGCACGATTTCAAAATCGGCTTTGACGTGACGGGGGGCTAAGTTCATTTTCATGACTAAGTGGGACTTTGCAATTGATTAATATTTTGTGTAATTCTCAAAATGTTTTGGCCAGGGTTGTACACCTATGATAAATATTATAGACCCTTAATTTTTTTTGTAAGTGGGCAAACTTACAAAATCTGCAGGGGATCAGATAATTATTTCCCCCACTGTATAGGTGACATCTCCTCTCCCCTGTAGTCATGAATGACGCAAGGGATTATGTGACTAGACCAGAGGGGGCTGAAAATGGCTAAGTATATACATCTTTTTTGCATAGGTTATGTTCTCTTTTTCCCCCTTCACTTCCATTTAGTTGAAATAAGCAGTGCGCGTTGTTTACAGTCATGTGCATGCTACATATGCCATAGTCCATCTCAGGAATGGGCAACAGAGGGTGGCTACATTTCTACATATAATGGTACCATGGAGAACAAACCTAGCTATCCTCTACCAGAAAGCAGTGCCAAGATGGCAAAAAAAAAAAAAATAGGGGGGTTTGGAGGAGACTTTGTAAGCCTACTTCTTGAGTTACAAATATGTACTTGAACAGAATTTTTCAAACCAAAGTGTAATAGCTGACAACAGTCTGGGTCTGTTCTACTGGATTTTGTATGTGTTTTCAGTTATGCTATAATCATTGGGGCGTGGAAACTGGACCAGAGGGTGTCACAGGATGCAGCATTTTATGGTTTGCTATAAAGGAAGCTGGGTAATGGGAACACAAGTTGAACTGCCCAGTATTTACATTTTAACGTTTGGCATTTCTTCTACAATGACACATGGACTAACCACCTTCATTTCACCTGCTTGGCTAATATGAATGATGTGAGAATTCTCTCAATGTGTTTCTACTGCAAAAAAATTAACTCTCCCTTTTTATTTTAATCATGATTTTTTTTTTTTCGTTCTAAATGTTCCTAGGGCTATCCTGTGTGCTAGGTCCAGCTATTTTGCTGCTATGCTGAGTGGATGTTGGCTTGAGACCTCACAAGACCTCATCCATATTCATAAGTAAGTGCATTCTGAAATAATTTTCCAGTGCTTTGTGCATATTTTAGAAACATAAAGTCCTTATTGCAGTGTCATAAAATCAAATGTAGCATCACTGTTAATATTTTATATTGGTTTTTAAAAATTGTATTAAATAAAGAGTTATGTAAATACTATAGCTCTAACTACAGCCAGGCCTGTGACCTGATTCACTGTAGTGATGTGTGTCAGCCTGTGATTGGACAATGAAGGAGCAACTGCAGACTGAGGAGGTTATTTGTCTGCTCATTCTTTTTTGTTTTGATGCCCCTTGGCAGCACTTGTGCCTACTTGACATCTTGTTGACCCCAAGTGCTGCCCCTCCCTTTGTTGTGCAGGGGAATACTAGAAGCTGAAATCAAGGCAACATCAGGTGTACAAACTGTGTTTGATAAATGTAATGATATTAAATCATCAATGAATGCAGGTATTTTATAATCAGCCTGGGATTCAACCTTTTTGATATTCTGAATGTTTTTTTATTTTTCAGTGTGAAACAATCAGATATGACCGTCCTTATGCATTTCATATATGGAGGAACAATGGATCTTCCCAAAAGCATCGATGCTGGGTGAGTCATTTTTTATATTCTTGTTTCTAGGGCATCTGAATTGCTTATTTTCAGGAGTGCAGTGACAGACATCCGTGGAAAGACTTGGACAAGGAACAGTGTGCCCTGTAGCCTTCAATCACATTCAAACCTGCCCTAGAAAAGGACAGTTGGAGAATGGATGTTTAAATCTGATGTTTGCCATGGGGCAGTGCAGACAGTTCTTATCAGAGACTCCTTGATAAATGAGGCTTTGAATGCCTGCTTTTGCAATTTTTCTTTTAGTACACAAAACCATCAGTATGTTGTGTTGAGCTGACCTCTTATGAAATATTAATGTATAATGACACTTTTTATTATTTCTCATTACCTTATTCTCTGCAAACTGTCATGTTGTAAAATCGATATATCGCATATAATTTGTTTGTTCTGTATTGGTGCTAAAAAATGCTTTCAGTCCGTAATACTTTGTTTTATTTAACATGTGCATTGTATAGAACAAATAACAGTAGTACTTTATGCTTTCCAGAAAGGGGAAATCTAATTTCTTCTGTAAAATACAGTGATCAAAGTCTTAAACTATGTGTTCATTTCTCTTGCAGTCAGATTCTTTCTATTGCTGACATGTATGGAATGGAAGGGTTGAAAGAAGTTGCTGTCTATGTTTTGAAGAGAGACTACTGCAAATTCTTTATCAAGGTACTTGTGCTGTGAATTTGGATGAACTTTACCCATTGTTCAGATCAGGCAAAGGTGATGTCCAGTTGTTGTGGATTTACAGATTCTACGATAAGGTTGCTATTTGTCCCGGTTTCCTGAGGACAGTCCCTGTTGTGAGGAGTGTGTCCCCAGGTATTGTAAATTTTGTAATGTGCAGGCTCCGACCCATCACACTGCTAAGGAAGCAATTCAGAAGAGTATGTGCAGACCCACCAGCTGTGCCATTTTGGATTGACGCTTTAGTAGCATGATGAGGTGGAGCCTGCACACTGCAAAATTTACACAGTGGCTCCCTGGGAAGCTACTGCAATCTGTGTAACTGCTGACCTGAACCCTGAACTATTAGGCTCCATGTACACGGGACACTTCTGAACGATGGAACCTGACAGCTGGAAAATGTAGGTTAAAAAACTTCTGTTTAGCTGCGTTTGCATACCGCGTTTATGCGCATTTAGAAGAGTTTTTTAAAGATAATCTCAGGAGACCTTCCAAAATGCCCATAATGCACTGAAAAACAGTAAACAATTAAGTATTTTAGACATTTTGAGAGAAATAGAGAGAGCAGAAGCAGAGAGAGCAGTATTTGTTGAGATTAGCTGTCCTTTTTTTTTTTTTTTTTTTTTTTTTTTTTTTTTTTTTTTGTGTTCGGATGTGTTCTAAAGTATGGTGTACCAGGTCCATTTGAGTACTGGGAAAAGCTTTGCATGCATTTTTCATTATGAAAAAAGGCTCTGGACAGCATCTGGAAATGGAAGAGTTAAAAAAAAAAAAAAAAAAATTTCCAAATGCTTATAAACGCAGCTTTAGCCACGTTTACAAGTGTTCGGCATTTGAAACTCCTGATAAGATCTACTCCTTAACACAAGTTTTCTGCGATCAAAATAACAACTGTAAACTCAACTACCTGTAATCGACAATGTGTACATGGACACATAAGAAAACATTAGGGAGAGTTCAGGGGCTGCTGAAAAAAAAAAACGCAGAAAAGCTCCTAACCGTGAGTTTATCAGCTGCAGTGTACATGAGCCCTTACTTCTGACCTTTTGAACAAGTGTTACCTAATCCTGACCCTTAATCTCTGTCCATTACTTGGGCTAGGTTCACATCTATGCAGATTGCGGTTGATGTATTTTCCGGGTGCATTTTGCGTTTGTTTTTTGTTTTTTTTGCTTTTCAATGCATTTTGTGTGACTTTACCTGGTCGTCATGGAGCGGGCAGCCACTGGCATCCTTAACCGATTAAAACTTGGTCGTTAAGGAGCATGTGGCTGCCGCATCCTTGACAAGCAATGAGTCACCAGCTGTCAGCCGATTGTAAACAAACCTATTGCTGGCAAATGAAAAAAAATCAGGAAAAAAACCTGCATTATACCAAGTGTAAAGTTTGGTGGAGGGGGGATTATGGTGTGGGGTTGTTTTTCAGGGGTTGGGCTTGGCCCCTTAGATCCAGTGATCCAAGACATTTTGGACAATTTCATGCTCCCAACTTTGTGGGAACATTTTGGGGTTGGCCCCTTCCTGTTCCAACATGACTGCACACCAGTGCACAAAGCAAAGTCCATAAAGACATGAATGAGCATGTTAGGGGTGGAGGAACTTGACTGGCCTGCGCAGAGTCCTGACCTCAACCCGAGAGAACACCTTTGTGATGAACTAAAGCGGAGACTGCGACCCAGGCCTTCTCGTTGGACACCAGTGCCTGACCTCACAAATGCAGGTCTGGAAGAATGGTCAAACCTTCCCATAGACACACTCCTAAACCTTGTGGACAGCCTTCCCAGAAGAGTTAAAGCTGTTTTAGCTGCAAAGGATGGGCCAACTCAATATTGAACCCTACGGACTAAGACTGGGATGCCATTAAAGTTAATGTGCGTGTAAAGGCAGGCGTCCCAATACTTTTGGTAATATAGTATGTATGTATCAGGGATGCAGAATTCTGATGCACTTCGCACTTTAGCTTCTTCAGGGGTTCAAGGGGTGCAATAAATATGGCTACTAGAAACAAAAAGCTGAATCGTAACATATAGTATAAAATTTAAAAATGTACATATATGTAATGCACATAAAGAGGTGACTTACAATCATAAATCCCTTTGAGTTCACCCAGTTGAGGAAGAACTCCGTTGATGTCAGCACACTGATCTCACCAGGCTTGGCAATAAGCGTAGAGGGAAAATATATGAGAACACTTGGGAATGATGTCTAATAAACTGGTCCAGGGGTACCAGGAGTGCTGCACAGTGGAGATGACAGCGTTTCCCAATGTCCAGCCTGAAAATCATGCAAAATCTATGAGGAATGGGAATACAGAATGTTACATCTCTGAGAAACCACTAGTGTCATAATGATATATATATATATATATATATATATACACACACACAAGGAACCGTGCAGCCAGCAAAGCATCAAAACAAAATATAAATTACCTGTGCGAATGCCGACAGCTCAGAGGATTGGGTCAGAGAACTTGAATTCCTTGGAAGATGTACAGTTAGGTCCATGTACAGTATCTGAGTACACACCTCACATTTTTTTGGAAATATTTTTATAACTTTTCATGTGACTACATTGTAGCAAAGGGTCAAGTAGTGAGTGTACAGCTTGTATAACAGTGCAAATTTGTTGTCCCCTCAAAATAACTCAACACACAGCCATTAATGTCTAAACTGCTGCCAACAAAAGTGAGTACACATCGTCACGGTACGGTACGTCACGCGTCGTCACGGTATTTGGTGAGTGTGGATCAAAGGTTTTTTTTTTTCACTGAAGATGTGAGCATGCTGGATATTTTTATGAAGTTTGAGTTGGTTTTATTTAATTTTTTTTTCCCACACGTTTTTGGGACATTTGTTGGACTTTTTAATATATACATTTTCACATTTTTATTTGCGCTGTATCACTTTGAGTATATTGTGATGTCTTGTCAATTTCTGAACAGCAGCATTTATTTTAATTTGTTTATTCCTTTGGTGCAAGATTTTCAATTTTTTTTTTTTTTTTAATGACCTAACCCTGCTTTAAACTTCTCCACAACTTTATCCCTGACCTGTTTTGGTGTGTTCCTTGACCTTCATGGTGCTGTTGGTTCACTAATGTTCTCTAACAAACCTCTGAAGGCTTCACAGAAAAGATGTATTTGTATTGAGATTAAAATTATACAGGGGCGGACTCTATTTACTAATTAGGTGACTTCTGAAGGCAATTGGTTCCACTAGATTTTAGTTATGGGTATCAGAGTAAAGGGGGCTGAATACAGATGCATGCCACACGTTTCAGATATTTTATTTGTAAAAACGTTTTAAAACCATTCATAATCTTTCTTCCACTTCACAATTTATGTGCCACTTTTGTGTTGGCCTATCATATGGTTGTAACATGACAAAATGTGGAAGATTTCAAGGGGTTTGAATACTTTCAAGGCACTGTACATGGAACTTATTCTTTCGAATTTCAGGATTTTAATTTCTGTATGGACTTCAGCTTTAAGTTGTCGGAATTTTTTCACATAAATATTCGTCTTTGTCAGCTGTGTGAAAGCAGTGACATTTTTAGAAGTACTATGTAAAAGCGCAGCACGACTGCATCTGCTGCTGTGATGAAGTGTGAGAAATGTAACCAACGGTGTCAACTTCATTGTCAGGTGACTGTGTTGGTAGAACACCTTCTCCTTTTTTTTTTTTTTTTTTTCTTCAAAGCACAGCATACATGTTAAAAATTGTGTTGTATTTAACCACTTGACGACCAGGCTATAGCCAAATGACGGTACAGTGTGTTCATCTAGTTCTGGGAGGGTGGCATATGACGTCCTCCAGAACCGTGCCCCCTGGGGCATGCACCCAGCAAGCTTTTTAATCGCTGTGTCCTTTGGACACAGCTGATCACAATGTAAATGCAATTGGCAGTTGTCTGCTGCATTTTCTTCACGCTGTCACAGCGTAAGGAGAGAGGAGAGCTGGTAATCGGCAATTGTATTCACACATTAGAGGGCATCAGTGCAGCCCCAACAGTGTCCATCAGTGCCATCTATCGGTGACCTTCAGTCCTGTCTATCAGTGCAGCCTCATAGCCACACATCAGTGAAGGAGAAAAATTACCTGCTTGCAGATTTTTATAACCGAAACTAATTAAAAAAAAGTATTTTTTTTTTTCAAAAATGTTTGGTCTTTTTTCATTTAGCAAAAAAATAAAAAAAAACTCACTGGTGAGTAAATACCAACAAAACTCTATATGTCTCAAAAATAAACATTTCATTTTGGGTAAAGTGTTGCATGACTGCGCAATTGTTAGCTGAAAATTAGCCTGGGCAGGAAGGGGGTGAAGTGCCCAGTAGGCAAGTGGTTAACACTGTCTGTACTTCCATAATGTACTTCTAGTTGTAAAACACCAGGGATTTTTTTTTACTTTAGAACTGTATATAGCAGAGCCATAGTCGAGTGTAAAGTGGAACTCCGGTAAATAAAGTTGTGTTTTTTTGGTTTTTTTTTTTTCTCTAATGTGTACCTCCTACTAATGCTTATTCTAGGTCTTTATCTCTGCTGTGTACTATACAAATCTTAGTTTCAATGATGCTGTAACGTGAATGTTTTCTGTAAAACTTTCACGGCATACAAGGAGTTCTGTGCATGGGCGGGGGGAGTACAAACTATAGTATGGCTTGTGTGTTTGGGAGCCGCAGCTCTCTTGTCTCAGCCAGGAAGTAAAGTGCTGGATGTACTTTACGACAACAATGAAATAAAGATGGTACAGTACACAGCAATGATGCAGACCTAGAATAAGCATCATTGGAGGTAATTCCTTTGTACACAAGAGAAAAAAAAAAAACGTTTTTTTTTTTTTATTAGATTTCTGCTTTAAATTCAGTTCGGTCTCTGCTATATATCAGTTTGTAATTGTGCTGCATTGCTGGTCGCCTGCACATTTACATCTATTTGCTGGTATTGTCAGCTTGATGTAAATTTTGCAAAAGCATGTTATTG